CAGGACTGTTTATTATTTAATATATGGAAAACATCCATTATGTTTATCCTCTCCATTACTAGTAAGCACACATTCCCCCACTGTTGTCTTTAGAACCATCTCTGTGGCCTACAGGCTATTTCCAGTCGTTGGTCTTTCAGCTTTAATCTACAAAGACTAGGTTTGCTCTTTGGAATGGGAAATAACCTTTCCTTGATGTTGTTGTGTTGTTGTTAGTGTTTTGACTTTTTCCAAACAGATCCAGATTCTTCAAAGTGCAAGACAGTGCAAAGCAGCACGTGCCGTTCCAGCTCTGCTCTGCTTTGTTCGCAAACCAAATGGGGCTCAGCACTTTCAGACATCCCAACATATAAATTCAGTTTTCCTTCTCATTTGCCTTTATATCTATCCTTCTGGATTCCAGCTGGAACCAAAACCAAGAGTGCTAAGCAACCACAATAAAGGCTGCTTTCCTTGGGGTTTCTAGATCCCCGGAAGTGGCACATATTAGTCATTCACAAGCCCCAGATCCCAGATTTTCCAGTCTAAATTCTATAAAGCCCAGAGACACATGTGTGTTTCTCAATCAAGACTATAGGATGTTTCTTCAGAGTGGACTTCAGCATTCTGGACCACAGTGGCCCCATCTCAGCTGATTTGAGGTCTAAGTTGAAAATAAAATTTCATATTAGCTTAGAGATGTGGAATGCATGAGAAGTATGGAGAAGTATTCCAAATATTGATGTCAGATTAATATATTTAATGGAAAGTAATGAATTCATCTGCTTGTGATTTGTTTCAGTTTCCCTTTCCTCCTGAGGCTTTGCAGACTAACTTACAATAGTTTCATAATACAATCTATGGCCACATTCTCAATGATACTTGCTTAGGGAAGAAACACAGTGGTTTCCCATTCTGTGATGGCTCTTCACTGTTCTATTAGAGGTACAGGTCTTATGGAGATAACCATATCTACAATAAGTTCATGAATGCGATGTCAATGTCATGTCCAAGAGACAGAAGGTCACAGGACTCTTACCTGCCTTCTGACTCTTATATTCTTTCTGAAATTCTGTTCTGTGATGTTCCCAAATCTCCTCCCCTTAGGAAGGGATTTGACATATATGTACCATTTAGAGCTGACTACATTCAATTGTCACTTATTGTTAGCCTTTTGGCCTCACATACAAGCCCAAAGTGGTTGGTTACCCTTCTAATCTTCATGCCACTACTGCACCAATGGACACATCCTGTATGACAGCTTGGAATTGTAACATGCCAGGTTCTCTGTAAGACATGCTTATTTTTAATTTCTCATTTGTCTTTGTTCCAGTGGCCTATTAGCTGGAATTGGAATCTGTCCTTAAATGAATCTCTTCCTTTTCATTGATTCCATACATTGACATTATTTTCAATTGAGTCCCATGTTTAAAATGATTGTCACATGCCCATGCTCATGATAAACAATCACGGTGTTGTGGCTCACATCATAAATTAATGTACACCAAACTCAGCCCATGTATAGCTGAACCTTGACCAACCAAATTGCAGCAGGGGCTGGGGCTGGGGCAGGGGCTGGGGCTGGGGCTGGAGCAAAGCAAAGCAGCAAAAGTCCTGGATTGTTCCCCGAAGGCCTCAACTCCGGGTGACAGACATAATGTCTTGCTCTTTAATGACATCATCTAGACTCTGAGGTGAGGTAGCCGAGTTCCAACGTGAAGCAGACCTGAGTTTAGATCTTACCTCACATAGCATTTCTCTTTTCTTATCTCTAAATGGATGAACTCTCCACAAGAAGAAAAAAATAATATTCCTAAGTTACCTAATATAGAAGGTCGGTGTATAGAAGATGCTAAGAAACAGTGATTTTAATTATCATTATTGTGATCCTTATGCTTCAGTTTTATACCAGAGAACAAGACGTTTTTATTGGGATTTTTTCCATGAGGAATGCATCTTAGAAGTCCAACTGGCAACTGAATATTCATCCTCGTATTCACAGAACAGAAGAGTTACTCAATACATATTTGACTAAGTATGCTTTGTTAATGTCTCTTCTCACATTTGTTAATATGGAACTTTTATAACAATAAACCCCCACAAATCCTAAGTGCATAAATGACCACATCCATTTGAGTATTGTACCAAGTCACACTTATTTATGATGTAGTTTTTCTTAATAAGCCTCTTAAATTTGAGTGACATTCATCTCAGGACATGTGAACTTATTTTTTAATATTCGTTTAAGAAACCCATCTTCTTGCCAAAAGGAAATAAAGGTTTCAAAATAAAAATTGTACACTGATTTTCACTGAAGATCTTATCAAATCTCAAAACTTAATTACTTAATTTTTTACATGCTCATTGTAGAACACCATATCTTACAGGGCACCATGAAAGTTTCTCAGAGGATGATTACGGTGAATTTTTTTTTCGGAAAAAAAATTTTACTATGTTTATGTCAGGAGCTATCATTTTTCTAGTACTTTAAGCTATATTTGACAACAATATTCTACATGTTTCATTTAGTACCATTTAATTTTTGTTGTGTCCTACAGTTTAAGGATCATCTTTTAGAACATTTCCTACATAAAAGAAATGCAAGTTCTTAAGAAAAACTTCTTAGAAGACCCTAGAATGAAATACCATCATTCATCAGTTAAATGTGTCTTTTCTCCTCATTATTGGAAGACAAGAACATAACTGTCGCTCTGAGCTCAGAGCCACACACCAAGCCTTCTGGGTCCCCCTTGGTACATCTATGGCTTAACAGTATTTATTCACACATCTGCTATGTTCCCAGTGACACGCAATAAAGATACAATTGATAAACTAGAAGTCAGGCATTTTGTCCTCATAGGAAAAGGTTGATAAAGAAAGCAACCATAGGACAATAAGAAAAGACTAAGGCCACACACTCCCAACATTAGAGCATAGGAGCCAGCTCTTCACAAGAAGCATAGACGGAAGACAGGTGTGGAGTAGGAGGCGATGTTAAGCAAGTGATGGAGCAGACAGCGGTGTGTGTGAAGGCACAGAACAAATAGAGAAAGACGCCCTGGACAAACCAGTCATTTGGGCCAAGTGGAGTCCATGCAATGAAGTCTAGAGAATGGATTCGAGCAGAAAAGGAACTAATTAGGATTTAGCATCTGGGGGAGATATTTAGCAACAACACAGGAAACGGATGCATGAACCAGCAGTAAGTCTGGCAAGAGAGATCCATGAAGAGGTCAAAGCAATTCCTATGGTGAATGAATATAATGTCCACATGGAGTCGAGAGAGAAAAGAATGATGTCAGAGAGACACCGCATGAGCAAAGGTGTGGGGATTCCTGGGATGTTAGGGAAAATGAAGAGAGACTGATAACAGCTCTCATGGAGAAATGGGGGCTCGTGTGAGCTCTTGGGGAGCTTAGAGGGTACAAGACAGATTATAAGTTAGAAACTCGTAAGGTCAAACGTGGCTGTTTTGTGTGCAACACCAACCTGACTAATAAGAACTTAAGCAAGTGCTCTTACACATCAAAGCATCCAGCAGCAGAGGCTACAGATCAAGGAAGTCTGAACTATATCATCACAGCTCTGGACTTCCCCTCATGGCGCATACTAGTTGTTCCAGCTACCGCAAGCCTGTCCCGAAAGGCATGAAGACAAAAAAGACAGAGCAAAGACCAAACTCTGGAAGCCACTGAGATGAGTGGGTGGGTAAGGGGCTTGCTCTCAGGAGTGAGGACCTGAGTTCAATCCTGGGGACATTCGTTGAAGGAGAAAACCAGTTCCCTCAAAGTTGTCACCCCATCTCCCTCCTGCCAAGCTGTCCTCTGGCCTCTACACATGCCCTATGGCATGTACATCCATACGTGGCCCCAAATGAATCAGTTCACATTTAAAATCTTTAGAAACATTTTTACAAGGAAGAAAAAACTTGACACCAAAACGCACAGGTTTCTCAGAAATTCAGCTCCCTTGAAAGGTCACTCCTTTTTGTCAGATATACAAGGTGGCACTAACTTTCTCTTCCAGAGAGGAAAGTGAGAAAAAGTGAAATTCAAATAGATTTTAACCAACTGTGGTATCTGCCAGTTATATGTGTTCTATCATTTTTGTTTTATTGTGAAATCGGCAGCAGAGCAGCCACAGTGTCCTCTATACCCTTCCTGCTCCAAGGTGCCTCATGATCACAAGAAGGCTACAGTCTTTAGTCTCCTATTTGCATATCAAGTGGAAGAAAATACAGGCAGACAAGGGAAAAGTTTCACTGGAACATAAATCTCTTCCAGAAATCCACACCTAAGATCACATACAGTTCTTGGATAACAGCTATGCCCATGAGCACCTTTATTGACAGGAAATGCCTGGAAATAGATTCATTTTAAACACAGAGCACATAGCTACCTATAACCACAAAACAAGGTGAAGGGAAGAAGGAAGGAAGTAGGAGGGGCTACTGTGCAGGCACCGAAGGCAGTCTAACATGGAATCATGTTCATGTGGTGCAATTCTTTGCTCTCCCCTCTCTCTACCCTTCACCATTTTGTAATAAGAAAACTAGATAATGTGACTTGAGATGGCTAGATCTAAAATTCCTGAGTTCAGTGAGCTCTTTCCAATGTGTCTCTCTGTTCTCTTAGTTCATAAAATATACACATAGTATACCCAGTGATGGGGAAGAGCTTCCCCTCTCTAGCACCTCTGACTTTGTACTTCGTTCATCCTTAAAGGCTATTTGTCACAAAAACTCTCTCTCTCTCTCTCTCTCCTCACTGTGTGTGTGTATATGTATGTGTGTGTGTACACTGTATACACAGATGCACATATGTGTATACAGATGTGCACGTGTGAGATGCCAAGGAGCAACCTCAGGAGCCAACCATGTTTTTGAGGCAAGGTATCTTACTGGCCTGGAACTCACCAAGTAGGTTAGGCTGGCTGGCCAGTGAGTTCATACTATTGTTTAGATTTCTTATCATGTGATCTGTTCATGATGACGACAGTTATTTTTTTTAATATTGATACAGGATTGTGATTTATTGATTCACCCAGAAGAAACCTGTGGATTGCAACCTATTTCTGCAGACTACATTGAAGCCATTTCACAGCCTGAAATAAAGAGTTGTGCATCTGGGGACACTAAAGGTGATTACATGGGTATCCTTTCTCAAAAAGAAATCCCTTGGTCTATGAGCACATGTTTAACTGGCCCTTGTTTTAAACAGGGACCTTACTTTTTCACTCACGTAAACATCAAGACATATTACAAGTGTAAATGCATTGTTTTAATAGTTGAAACATTTGATTAGGCAAACCCTATGCTAATCCATTGTCATTTAGAAATGGCAGATCAGAGGTCACTTCTGCCAGGAGCCTTCCTTTAGCCTCTAACTTATTTCCTAACTCTGTACTTTTCTTGTGTCCCAACCTCTACAATTCAATTACTATGTGATTCATTGTTTGGTGCCATTCTTCCCAAGATGTTGGTTTCATGAGGGCAAGATGTTGACTGCTTCACTTTAGTTTTTATTACATTTTCATTTGTGTGTGTGTGCTCACGTGCGTGCATGTGTGCCCCTGCACACACATGTGTATGCCAAGGCGAGCACACAAGGGTCAGATGACAGCCTGCACAAGTCAGTTTTCTCTTTACAGCATATGGGTCTCTGAGAGTAAGTTCAAGTTGTCAGGCCTAGAGACAAGCACCCTCACCCACTGTGCAGCTCACCAGTTCCCTTTCCCAACTCATTACATACATGCATGCATGCATACATACATACATACATGCATGCATACATACATACTTCACACATGGTAAGTAGTAAATAAATTCCAGGTTTTAAATAACTGATTTTCATTGTAGGAAAAGTATTGGAAGTAACCACAAGTATCCCTCATATTTTGATCATTCCTACGAATAGGGGCATGAGGATTTCAGATTGCGGCATTAAATCTCACATGCGTCATGAACAGACCCGTGATGAGACACCACTCTCTAGTTTCATCCTCTCAGGCTTCCTGAAGCAGATAGAGTGCAGTCAAGCAATGCTGGTACCAAGAATGTATTCAAAGTAATTAAGGCTCAGAGCATGTGGTTTTCAACAGTCCTGGTTACTGCCCCATCCGGACCCCATGACTCCCCTCCTCAGAAAGGCCTGAGAAGGCACACACAGCTGCGCTAGCCTTACCATGAACTTCACACGGCTGCTGCAACGGGAAATGTGTTTCCCAAATGGGCAGGGCAAATTGCAATTTGGCACACAGCTAGCAAATGTGGGCATGTCCCATTCTTGAACATATGTTCTAAATAATAAGCTTCAGTCAGGGAGGGACTCGCCTGTTAAGGAGGGTCAGGTGCCGTGATCTGTGTCTCCCGGCTGAAGGAGACACAGACTCAGCCTTCAAAGGAGATACCTATGTGTCCAGTTCAGTATTGTTTTAATCAGATGACAATTTATGACAATCATAAAACAACTTAATTCTATTCTTTGTACCACAACCGAGTCAAAGCTCTTCCACCCTTAAGTTCATGACACTGTTTCTGCTCAGGAGACAGCAGTTTGTTCTAGCCTGTGAAATATGCCGTCACATCAGCCAAGCTCTGGTTCATCTCTGTTCATTGCGTGGACTTGATTTTGTGTATCATTAGACCCCTTTAGAGAAGGCCCCACACTGACTGTCATGTTTTATATCATGGAATTTCAAGACTTCCTCCTCCCATCTCTTCCCTACCTCTCAACCTCTTTGCCTCTCTCTCTGTGCTGATAACCCTGCTTTGAGATGTCCAGCTCTTCTCCCATCTCTTCCACCACCTCCACAGGTCCATCCTGTCATTTCCTACTATCTGTTATCATACCTTTCTCTAGCCGGCCTCTTTCCACCACATGCCACATGTAGCTGCTCTGTGTTCCCAGAGCAATCAAGGCATGGAATCTTCAGAATGCTACATCCTTCTCTTTTAAGTGTATACTTACCTGGATCTGTCTGAAACCAATGATAAACACCAGGAAGAGAAGAGAACAGAACACGGCAGCCTTGGGGATGAAGCCAATAAGGATGAAAATATATGAGCAACTGCTTTGTATCTAATCATTTTTATTTCCATGTTTTATGGTGGACACAATATATAAACATAGGAGTATCTACGTATCTTACAGTGTGCATGTACTAAGACGTCAAGGGTGCTTGAGCTGTATATTTTTACTGATGGCTTCCTTTAATTAGATTTTGTGAGGACATAAATTGTTTATATTAATCTTCCAGTGCCTAATAGACAATTTTTAAAAAGTTTACCAAACTAAATGAAGATTTAAATCTTTTCCCCTCCACAGGAATCTAGGAGACTACACAAACACACACACACACACACACGTACGCACACACACAAGCACACATGCACGCACGCACATACACAGAGAGAGCACCAAAGCCCACAGACTCAAAAACACTGAAAAAGTTCAGAAAATATTGTTCTAGAATATATTGTGTGTTCCCCAAGATGGCCCCATCCTTCATAACAGGATTTCTACATCTTAAGGAAAAACCTGTCCTGGTAGATGATGCTGGAGGGAAATCTAAACAGTTGTGTGTTTATTCAAACATCTTCTGGCACAAAAAAAAAGCTATTTTAATCATGTGCTACAATTTGACAGCACTGGATCCATTCTTTTTACCTGTAATATACTAATGCCAAACTGTTTTTTTTTTAAATACACTAGCTTAGATAGTTTTGAATCACTGTATTTCTTTTCTATCCCTCGATTGCTTAATAAAGTAAAAGTAACTCTTCTAATTTGAAGAAAAGAAGCACACATACAATGACAATTAAATAAGAACTTAAAAAAATCTCCTCAAATCATGATGCATAAAAAAATAAAAAGGTTTCTCTATAACTTGCTTTTAGTGAGAAACTGTGAAAAAATGCTCGTGCTTCTAATATTTATTATATATTTTATTCACTACAATTAAACCTTTATTTTATGAGATTATATAACAGTAATTAATATTAGTATGTATGTGGTTTTATTTCCACTGTGGTCCTAAATGATTGGACATTTTTTTCTCTGTGATACCAGCCAATATAATCCACTCCAGTGGAATTTACCAAACAGCTCAAACCATACCAAAAAAAAAAATCCTTTTTCAAAGGACAGTTGTGCTCCTCAGAATGTCATTCCTTAAAATGCCTGTCATACCTTATTTCAGAAGTCGCAGCTTTGATTCACTCCGTGTTTAAATATATAATGTAGGGCTTGTCGTTTATGCCCCTCCTTTTTTGACAATTTTAGTTAAGAGCTGGTGTCACTTAAAAAGTCAAGAACCCCAATCCTACAGATGTTATACAGATGGCTACTTCAACTCACAGTAAATAAAGGGCATTGCTAACTGATTCAAAAACAGAGAAAGCCATGGCTGCATAAATGTATAGTAGTGTGTGACATAGGGGCCAACTTTGCAGATACCAAATCAAGCCTTCTTTTTATGTAATGTAAAACTTAATGCCCCAAAACTAATTGCATCCATATTTGAGCGTTTCTTATAGCTGACCACTTTTTCTTCATAACAGAAGTAGCCACAGAGGGTCTTAGTTTGTGGAAAGTTAGCCATCAACAAGGTTAGGGAATAAGAATGTTCTGGTTACATGATGCATTTAGATATACAAAGATCAGATTAATGGTGGAGAGGAGAGGGGAGGGGAGGAGAAGGGAGGGGAGGGGAGGGGAGGAGAGGAGAGGAGAGGAGAGGAGAGGAGATACTGGCCCAGCATGTCACCATCCTATCAGGGAAAAATATCAACCACAGTCTTTACCATACATATACCCATTGAGTAAATTCATCTTGAAAAAAGTTTTTAATTATTTTATTTTATGTATGTGAGTGTTTTGCCTACATTGAGGTACACCATGCTCAGACCTGCTGTCTGCAGAAACCATGAATTGGAGTTACAGGTGGTTGTAAGCCACCAAGCGGGTGCTGGAAACTGAACACAGGTTCTCTTTGGGAACAGCCACTAAGCTATCTCTCCATCCCCTAAATTGAGCTTCTTAAAATAAAGAACTAAATCATTAGGACAATCAGATAATGTGGCTCCCCCTAAGAGACATATTGGGTCATGCATCATTTTCAACTGATGTTTTTGTACTAATCTGGCATAATGTGGTATCTGACTCAACCAAAAAGAGTCTTGATTATGGCCCAGCTCTGGTATTCCACTCACTTCATCTTTACTTATTTCTTGATGCCTCTGTTTGCTCCATCTGTGAAACAAGAGTGTGATGAGGACCAGCTCTGAGTTCCCTTCCAATCCCATCCCAGGTGAATGTGCACACAAGGGAAGCAAACTCTTCCCTTTGCCTTAATACCCTCTATGTCTCCTTCATCTTCTGTCTTTGAGCAATAGTACATATGTCTGTCTATGGATCAACTATCTGTCTATCTATCTATCTATCTATCTATCTATCTATCTATCTGCACCCTACACACTGCACACTGAAGGAAACACCTTCCCATGGCAGATCCTGTGCTTTCCCAGTGTGTGCACTCTATGTAGAGGCCAGTCAGATCTGTCTCACTCCTAAAAAGCTCATCCCTGCAGTGTTCACATATCACACTTCCAATCCCTCTGACTCTCATCTTGCAAGAAAGTCCTGTTTACATCTAATGAAATTTCCAGAATTTTCTGTTTTCACTTTATTATGAACCACCATGGCATACTTGTGGTCAGGACACAGGACTAAAATCTATTTATGGGCAGCTCAGTGCCAGACACCATGGCAGGTGCTATGCATACTTTCCTTATAAAGTAGTAAATTTAATCATGAAAATATTAAGTCATTTGTCCAATTGAAACAGTGAGCTGCAACCTTGGCTTCACTGTGGAACCATCTGAAAGCATTTTTCGAAAATATAGATGGCTAAGTCTCATACTTAATGTTGCACTAGGGTACACCCTAGGCACAAGAATTTTAAAAAGCTTTCTGGGTGAGATTTGCAATCAACACTGAGTTCCACAAGCTAGCTGGAGGAGGCAGAGCCTGCGGATGTGTGTGCCTCACTAGTCTGAATGATTTCACCGTCACAGATACTCAATTTTGTATCACCTATTAAGATACTGTTGTGATCTCTAATGTGTACATGGTAAACCTCAGATTTGAACATCACTGCTTTTCTCGTAGATTTAGCATTATAATTAAAAGTGTGGGCCCCCGAATTGCTCAAAATTGCTCAAAATTGCTCAAATCCTCCCTCCACTGCCTCTTCAGTGGAAATCCACACAGTATCCATTTTCCTGAATTCCAGCTGGAGAGATGGCAAGATCGTTCTGAGGCTTAAACAAGTTAATATGTTAAGTCTCTTAAATACGACTGGCATGTATAGATATGACTAGCTATCTTTATATTCCCGTGACATTTTAACGTCATAGTACCCATAACGTCATAGTACCCAACACTAACACCTCACTCACCACAATAGATACTTGATTCCTGAAGCTACAATACACTGAAAGTGACGGTGACTAGTCCTGAAAGACAAAGCGCTGGTGGGTAGGCATCAGATAAGGCCATTTTCTGATATTCTCCTTGCATTTAAAAACCAGAGAAAAGAAAAGAAGAATGTGGCAAGGAGACAGATATGCCGATGTTCTTTGAAATTTTAGTGCTTTGTTCTGCTTTGGTTAACACTCTACCTGTTAATGTTACTCTGATGCTCCTCTCTTTTCTTACAATTCATAGTTTCCTCATAGCCTTTTTCCCCCTCCTAGCTACTTTCTCCTAATATGCTGCCACTTTTATCTCTTTCAGTGACAGATCTGTCAAGGCTATCCACTATATTTCTCTTTATAGTTTATTATTTACAATCATTTCAACATACACCAACACTCACACACACAGTTCTGACCCTGAGGTCATGAATGGAATGGGTACTCTAGTCATGTCCGGATGGTTGACATTCTCCCCACTGCAATTTATATCACACTAGAGACTTTGCAAACAGCACCACAATGCAGACTCAGAAAAGGTAGAGAGTTTTATTTAAAAATGTTGCCTTGAGGCTGGAGAGATAAATGGCTCAGGGGGTACAAGCCTAAAAAAGGGGAGTTCAGTCCCTGGAATCCACAATAAAGCTTGACCTGGCGCTGCAGGGCTGTAATCCTGGAGCTCCTCTGGAAAGAAGAGAGGAAAGAACAGGAGACTCTCCCAGAAGCTTCCAAACCATAGAGCCTGGAATAAGCAATGCAACAAAAGAAATAACAAATGAGAATGTGCTGCCTCAGTGTGGCGTGAAAAGACAGTCAGTTCCCAAAAGTTGTAAGGAACCTCTACCTGCAGTGTATCCCCCCACAAATGAATAAATAGGTTTTTTTCGTTATTAATCCGAAGTCAGCAAAACTCTGTCATCCTCTCACTAAGCATATGAGAACACTACTCACTTCAACTAAGCTATGTGGAAACCAAGAGGACACAGCTATGTAAAAAAATGAAAATAGCCACACTCAAAGTTCCATCAATCAAGACGGACTAATAATCAGTCTTGAAAACTGTAAATTATCAAAATACTGTTGTATCTCTCTTGTGTCTAAATTTCTTGAGCACAGTGAATATGTCTGTTATCATACTGGTAACCTAGTCACGGGTTAGGTTTATAAATGTTCGAGGCCTACTGACAACTTGGAGACTCCCACCCAACCTTAGCTGTATAGAAGCTCAAAAGTAAGTTAATGGTTGAGTAGCAAGCAATCACCGGTTTCCTTTGGATTCAGGAGGTTTCATGGAACTCTCCCCACCCCTGGAATCCAGTGTGAACAGTGTTATTTCACAACAGGCCATCATGTTATTCCTCGGCTTGACTAGCAGGAGGCCATGCCAGTCAACTTCCCACTGGATTTATTAGATAAAAATGGTCTTCTCATTTTCATTTCTGTAGTTTGATGACATTGACTTCTATACTTGCAACGTGTAGGTTCACCAGTAGTTTCACAGGCCAAACAAAGTCTTACTATGTTTTCTAGGCCAGTGGATTGTGCCTTGCCTTACTTGTTCAGACAACAGAACCTGTGACTGGAGAGAAATAACCTGGCAACCACACAACTGCCAACATGACATTCTAACCAAGCCAGAACTTCAGCAGTGCCTGAAAGGAAGGAAGGTAGGTTCCTCGGTCAGCCAGGAAAGCCTGGGCTTCTTGCCATCTGCAGCACAGAAGCCAGACCGTTGCATGTGCTAAACCAACTTCTGCCCTCTTGCAGTTAAAGGAAAACTAACTCGATGTCACTTGGCTTTTTGGACCACCTGTAGACATTATCACCAATGATCTTTAATAATTCTTGCTCACAGTGGTCACGTTTCTCCAATTCAGTCTATCTGGCAGATGGAGGATATTAAAACCATGTGCTGTGCTGACCCAATTCCGTGCTGTTTTTGTAGCATGCATTGTTAGAAGTTTGTCATGTCAACAGACAGTGGGCAACTCGGAGCAGCCGGCCTCATCTCTGGAAGCTCTAGCATACAGCACTGCTGAAACAGAAGTCTATGGCTCAGTGCAAGGAGCCAAATGCCCCTGCACGCAGGACTCACTTCTAGAACTTACCAAGGGCACAGTGCTATGTGTCCACTCTAACCTTGCTGACCTTCTCTCAAATTCCTGGGCAGGTCTCATTTGGAGCTCAGCAGGCTGACTTTCGTTCTACTGGGGCTCCTAAGCTGATGTCTTGGCCATACAGTTTCTTCTTGCTAGGCGTACTCTGACTAGGTAGAGCCCAGCAGAACCTTCAGACATGTAAAACTGGCACAGAGGCTGAGATGCTTGGCTGACATCAAGTCAGTAATCTTAACCAGATTTTCAAAGTGCTTTTCGTCAGATGGACTTATCCTCCTGCACCGTGTGTAAGCTCTTACATATGGGCAGGCCCATTTCAAAAGCTGATTTTAAAAACAGCATAGTATGGAATGCATGCCAAATTTTCTGTTAGTAATTAGCCTAAGAAGAATGTGAAGAGGGGCGGGCTAGGGCAGGAAGATAAATGTGCTCTTCATTTCAACAGAAGGAGAGGAATGCTCAAGATTGAGAACATGACCAATAATTAAGAAGCAGTATTACTTCATTTGTAAAAGGGAGAGCAAGAAAACGCTGGTGTAGAAACTTGTCAGCAATATTAAGTGAGCTGTTTTTCTGTGTAAGGAACAGTTCTACTAACTCTCAAATGTTAAAACCCACTAGGCTCTAAACTTCATTAGGGTCAGGGGTGTGTTTGATTCATTACAATAACCTAATTGATGCATATAGTTTGTGATACATAGTAATTATTTCATGAATATTAGTAGGAGTGGAGTTGAAGCTCAGTGGGAAAGTATGAACTTAAAATATATAATGACTCTGGTTTTAATCCCCTGCATCATCAATCAGTTGTAGCGGGTTGGCCTGATGCTGCTTGTATCCTAATGCTAATACTGGTTCATCAAGGCCAGGTTGCCTGAGAGATGAGAGAGTCCCAAGTAGAACCAAGTGATGCTATGTGACCTTGCCCCCAAGTTATTTCTGATTGGTAAATAAAGATGCCAGCAGCTAATAGCGGGGCAGAAGAGGCACAGGTAGAGTTGAGGATTTCTGGGCTGGAGGTCAGTAGAAATTGACCAGAGAGAAAGAAGAAGCGAATGGAGGAGAAGCTACCATGTGTTAGGTGGGTCATGAAAACGTAGCTCTGAGGGCTGGCCAATTGGAGTTAAGAGCAGCCCAAATGAAACATAATAAGTAATAACTTGGGGGTTATAGATAGGAAAGTAGATTCTAATAGCATAGAGGGTAGATATCTGCCAAGCTCTTACGCTGCTTAAGGCTTATTAGAAATAGTAAAAGTTGTGTGTCTTTTATCTGAGAACTGAATGATCGAGGTGGGATAGAAACCCTGGATTGGACTTAAAATTTTCTACAACCATCAATCAATATTTGTTGAATAAGTGAATAAATGAAAATTTTAATTATTCATAATCACAACTTTATGAGGTAGATATTATGTGTGTTGTCTACTTGAGAAAATTAAATGCTCCCAGAGATGGAGCTCACTGGTAAAACATGTGAGCAGCTGTCACTGCACCAACTTTGGCCATGCATGGACTGTATAAGAGAACTGAAGTGGTATAGCGGTGACAATCACCCTTGTAACACCAGCCAGATAGCTCTCTATTCAAAATTCCATTCCAACCTCAGAATCCAGAGTACTGGGCACAACGCCAAGAAGATGTCACAGTCTATTGACCTGAAAAGCAGTTGATGCAAATACAGAGCTAAATTATGTGACTTTGTTTCTCAGGTTCCTCTCTCCATCTGTAAAATGATAAGTACGCTATAACCCTCCACAGTAGATGCATCACCTGTTTAGAAAGGTAAAGATGTTATAGTCTAATATCATAGACTGGGTGGCTCAAATAGAGGAGTTTCTGGACTGGGGAGTCTGAGGTCACTTCCAGTTTCTGCTGGTTGCCTTCTCGTGTCCACAAATGAGAGAAAAGGTGCGGAAGTCACATCCTCTTTTCATTCAGGGAACACCACCATAGAGACTCTACCTTCGTCACCTAGTCTAAACTTGTCACCTACCTAGAGTTCCACCTGTCATGGCCAGAGTGGGTTGTACTATGTTGATATATGAATTTTTATTAGTCATAAACAGTCTGTAACATTGTCTCAGTTGGCTACAAAGCTGGTTATCAGCAACTCTACAAGAAGTGGTGAAAGGGGGACATTTTCTTTTGTGTTACTGAGAAATGTTGGTTATTATAAAACCAGAGAAATCAAAGCTTATATTCAAGTGACTTGAGGAGATGCCTGCTGACTGGCAGGAGAGCACAGAGGGCCTACCATCATGTGCCCCTTAGACTTAGCACACTCAGTTCGCACTTGCCCTCACATGGACATTTTCCCTGCAGACTGATGTGTTCACCAGAATGCTCCCTTAGTTTGTATATAATAGCTATGTACATTAGAGAAGCATTCTCCATTTTGAGCAACGAAGTGGCATCACCAGAATCAGAAAAGTCACCCTACAGTGGTCTGGGGACTATGACAGCAGGTCATCAGAAGTCACCTCATAGTGGTCTGGGGACTGTAACAGAAGGGCATGAGTCAGGAAGACAGAGGCTGTTCCGTGAAATTTCAAAACTCAGTACTGAGAGGCAATGCAAGAATAGGTTAGGTTATCTATCAAACACTCCTATCAGTATAAAACGAATATAAACATACAAACCTGATGATGTACGTGGAAAACATCTAGGTGTAACAAACAGGTAAGAGTTAAGATATACTAAGGTGAAGAAGACATGACAGGAAGACATGGGACATCACCCTCCGGCCTCTATGCACATTCACACGCACATACACAAAACACACATCCACACTTATACTACGTACATACAAAGCAGGAAAAGAAGTAACACACATTTTAGTTTTTAAAATACATGAAATTTATCTCTACTGTGTCAAATATTAAAGAAGACTTTAGCAAAACTAAATATTACATTGGCAACGCTGCTCAGAAACATAGTTCACATGTGTGTACGGATAGCAAGACGTGAGGTAGGAAGATCCTCAGACTGGCAGCCAGGAAACCTGAGCTACATCCTGATTGTACCTAAGCTCTATTCATTGAGTTTGTCTATTATTTCTGCTCCTTGCCTGCAAAACCCTGCACTGCCTGTTATGCCTGAAGTGCTACTGCAGGGCGGAGTCCTACAGATCATTTCCCGTGTTCTGACTGTGGGACGTCACATTTTTCATTCGTCCATCTCATGTTTGCTGAGCTGAGACTCGGTTCCAGCAGAGCATATGCTCCCTCAAAGTTCTGGATTTCAAGTGTAAACACTAATAAGAGAAGTGTTCAATGCGTGAAAATCATATAGGCAGGGCAAAGCCCAGAGGCAAACACTAGATAGATCCATGCGGGGACCGTCTGACAAAGTTGCCATAAAGTAGACAGGCAGCTAGAGAGAAAGTGTTTATAATTAACAGCCAGATAGCTGTCATGTTAGTTTGAAATCGCTCAATTGAGATAGGAAAATAGTTAGGCATAGTCATTTTTCTCAAGAGCATCTACTGTGAGCATCGTATCTTTCAAACCAGGAGGTCACTTGCTTCTCTCTTGCTGAGAGAACCGATACAAATGGCAGAAGTAGATAATGGGGCAGGATTGTGCAGGGGATAGACAAAGGTGGGCTTTAGGTCTCGTGCTCACATGTATTTCAGTTCCCTACAGTGTGGATTACACGGAAGTGAGACCATATCGAAGCATGCCCCCTTTTTACTAGCCTTACCAACCTGAAGACTGTTAATCCATATGAAAACCTCAGATCCTTAACAATGAAAATCCACAAGTTTAACTATTGCCTTAAAGGAGTTTGAACATATTGTATTACAAGAAAAGCAGACTTCTGAGTCCTAATCCTAGCAAGCTTCAGCTTTGAGGGACATGTTGAGTTTTCTTTATCCAAAGAATCAGATATAAAGGCAACAGGATTTAACCTGCCCACTGAGAATAATGGGATAGTTAGACCCTCAAGAAACAGTTTGCTCCCTTTAGATTCTCCAAGTCGCTTTGTTAAATTCCTTTCTGCTGTTACGGTTTCTCTACTGTTTACACGGGTGAATGCTGACACTGGACATGGAAATGCAAGCCCACCTGGTGGGAAGGGAACGGACACTACCCAGTTAAGATTTCAAACGCAGCTCAAGTTTCCAGAAACTTTAACCAAGAGACTCACTTGATGGCAAATGAACAGAGCTGGACTTACCACATATCAGGTGTTGTCTTTCGATTCAGCAATGTTGAGTAGAAGAAGCACAGGATGATGTCTCAATGGGAAAGCAACAAGCATCAGAGCAGCTGAGAAATTCATATATAAGGGTGGGGTGGAAAAATGTGGAACGCCTATAAAACTTTAAACTAATTTTACCCAAATCATTATTTCATCTGTGTTTATGTACTTGTTTGTTTTGTGATATATAATAATAATAGCTATGGTGAATCAAAGTAAAATCAATTGAAAAACTAGCGTGTTAATCATAACTGTATTTCTACAAATTGATTCCCATCTCTCAATAAACTGAGTGGAACTTTGATAAGCATGGGTCAGCAGGATTCTGTGCTCATCATGTGAAGT